TGTTTTTCCCAATCATTATTATTATTATTCTAATTATTTTTTAAAACAGTCAATCACTATTTCTCATTTTGCTTGTAAAAAAAGACTTTACCCATCATGAAATACTTCTCAGACCAATCCAGTTGAGAATACTATTCATGTCATCACCAACAGGTAACAAACCATATCTGATTCTCACTACTATCCTGCCTCTCTTTTGTTCTCTCGCTATCTTTCTCTATCCTCTTCTCTTCACTCCCCCCCCATTCCACACTGTCCTATCCTCGTTAAGTACCTTCATTGCTTTTATGTCCTCCAATTTTTTGCTCTCTACCATAGAGTGCGGATAGTCGGTATATATTGAGTGGATACATACAATATCTTTCTTTTGTGTGTTTATTTTTAAAAATTAAACTGTGAATCAAGTATCAAACTGAGGATAATTGTGTTTTCTCTGGTTTATGATGGATATTTTCATTTGTAATAATAAAAACATCCAGAGGTCGGTTTTTTTTTCATTTTTAATTGTTTTGATGAAAGGTAAGGGGAAATATATTTCACTATTTTAATGGCTATTCATTATAATTCCTCAATGAATGATCAGAATGGAACTAGAATTCGTTCTCTTCTGTGCTTGCTCTTAGGATAATGTGATTAAGCTCTGTAATGTGTCTCCATACTTTGTTGGAATTATTGGGAGATTTGTTCCTCACCTCCTTGGCCTCGGGTGGTTGCTGGCATTCTGTGACTTGTGACTGCATTAGCCAGTCCTTGCCTTTGGGCTCACAGGGTCTCCTCCTTTTCCTTGTTAAGTCTAAGGATGTGAGTGCTTGCATTTTAAGGACCTCTTGGATAATCTCCCTCATCCTCTCATCCTCGTAGCAGGATCCTTAAATTAATCTCATCTGCATTCTCACTGAAGAAAGCATACTTTGGAGGCAGTCAGAGCAGAATTTTGAATTCTAGTCAGTTACTAACTTGTGGACCTTGACTCAGTTCCTTAACCTCTTTGAATGTCACTGTCTTCATCTGTCAGTGGAATTACTGCCTACTCTCAGAGAGGCTTTGAAAGAGTTAAGAGAAATGATATCGATTCAAATATCAATTCTTGGTTTCTTTTCCATTTGCATTCAAAGCCTTGTTTTGAAATGTCTTTGTATTTCCAGAGCCTGCCCCTACCTGGCACATGGTGGTTGCCCAGTACATGTTTACTGAGTAGCTTTCTGTCCTGTGAAGGGCAGTGTGGCATTGTGCTGCCCCGGTACTGAACCCGTAGCTGAGGACAGCTTGGGTGATGCCCATCTTAAAATGCCCTGTGTGAGGGCTGACGGTTATTAACTGAGCAAACTAGGAAGATGCATACAAAGCAGAACTCCCGAGGCTGTGATTTCTGTGTAAATATGCTAAATGGAGTGCATACATGAGGCAGGAAAAGAACTGTTGGTCCAAAAAGGGAAAAGTTAGAGATGGGCTGCAAGCATCCAGGTACTATACACCACACACACACACACATACACACTCTCTCTCTCTCTCTCTTCATAAAACATTGACTGATTTCTTACCCCATTGCTATTTTGTATTTGCGCCACATGCTGAATGTTACTGTGACTATCTGACATCATTTCCATTGCTGTGAGGCTCCCTCCTGGAAGGTAATCTACTTGACAACAAGGATTAGCGAGGCAGCGAGCATACCTTCCAAGGCCACGTAGCCAACACTCAGGATGATAGTAGCAGATTGAATGCTGCAGTTCCACCCTTCCTGACAACAGCGTGGAGAGCTTGCTTTGGGCATGAGCAGTAACTGATCCAACTGTGGCCTTGATTAATGAGTCACTTGGCATACAGTGTCCCTGAGTCACAGGCTGTCCTGAAGATCACTTGCTGACTCATCAGTGCCTTTGTGTCCCAGAGACCTCCTCTATGACAGGGAAAGAAGCCCAGGAATGTGGGTGGGGGCTGGTCCCCAGAGAAGCCTGCAGCTTCCCCAGAATCATTCCTGTCCCCTGCCTGGCTGGTGTAGGGGGAAGAGACATCTGAGAGCTTGGAAGGGGAGTGTGGAATGGCAGCAGGAGGTACACAGGAAAGTCCAGGATAGAGGGAAAAGCCACAGCCCAGCCAGTGTAAGGCAGGGAGAGCAGCTCTCAGTCACACCAGCTGGAGACTGCAGGCACCCTTGACAGCAGACCTGGAAAAGTTCTGGTGCATTGAAGGTGTTCATTTATTAATAACCTATCAGTGCCAATCTAGGATTAACTAGCCTTTTTATCTTGGTGATGCTTTTCCGGTGCTCTCAGCATGAGATTGGCAGACTTTGAAAGAAGTCTGTAGTGGAAGATCTCAGTGCATTTAGCTAGGAATAAATGCAACAGACATCTGAGTGTCTGTCAGGTTCTAGACAACGTTAAATGGGTACAGAGTTTGGAAATGTAATCTAGATCATCAGAATTTCTAAAGTATTAGAAGAGATACCTTGAAGGAGGTAGAGAACAGCATTCCAGGGTGTAGAGTAAAACTGTTGACCATGAGTAAAGAGAGAGTGGGTCACACTGGGGAGGGAGGAGGCCGCTGAGGACTGGCCTAGTGGGAATGGCCTCATGTGTTCACTAACACGAGGTGCTTTCTGAGCCAGGATAGGGAACACGCAGAGGGTGAAACACAGTTCCAAACTTCTTTGAACATACCTGGTGAAAAAGAGCAGCTATCATGTAGCAGGTTCCGCTCTGCACGTACCTGCATTGGAGAAGGTGGGCATGAGCTGGGCCCGTGCTGTCTGGGGACAGGAGAGGTGCCCAATGCTGAGATTGTTCCCATGCTGTATGGGGCACATGGGAGCGTTTCCTTAGTGATCTCGACATCACTCTCCTCTACCCCACTTAACCTGTTTACAATAACTACTACGGGAAAAAAATGCTTTTGAATTTCATTGGTGGTAATGATAATGACAGATCTGTACCCATAACTCTGTGTTCATGTTTTTCCTAGTGTCAAATCAACAGTGCCTTGACCTCCTTCCACACTGCTTTGGAACTTGCAGTTGATCAGAGGGAGATTCAGCATGTCTGTCTGTATGAAATTGGTAAATATGAAATGCCTGTCTGTCTAGCTCCTTGTTATAAAGCAGTATGAATGCTTTCATGTGGAACTTTTCCTTTTTAATGGTATCTTTGCAGAATGCTTGCCGCCTTACATAATAATGACTTCGTTGCTCCCATGGCACTCGTGAAACCACATGTCTCTGATTCTCGTTACCTTTTTAAAAGTTTATTTTTAGAGAGATTTTTGCTATAGGGTGCATGCACTCGCCAGAGACACAGAGAGACAGAAAGCAAGAAATCACCCTCCAGGGGGGTAGCCACACCATAATCTCTTCTCTTCCATACTCTTCTTGGGATTTAGGGTTAGGGTTAAGCTGCTGGGTCTGGGACTTGAACCACGGTTGACTACATGAGAATTCAGTGACGTAATCATTACATAATCTGCTCACAACAACAATTTGGAGAAGGAGGGGGATCTTACTATATTAGATCTCCTGTTACTTCTTTATAACATTTTGGTTTTAGAATAATAGGTAATGTTGGGACCAGCAGTTAGCGTAATGGCTGTGTCACTGGACTCCCATGTAGTCGACCGCGGTTCGTGAACCAGACCCAGTGGCTTAAAACTCACGCCAGGCGTGTGTGCGTGCATGCCCAAGATTCCGAGAGGAGAACGGAGGAGAAGGGATTGCGGTGTGGAAATCCCCCCCGGGGGGGGGGGGGGATTTCTCGCTTTCTGTTTCTCTGTCTCTCTCTGTCTCTCTGGCAAGTGCATGCACCCTATAGCAACATCCTCTCCAAAACAAAGAAAAAAAATAGGTAATGTTAAACGAATTGGCAAAATAACTCATGTAAGTACTTTACTGGGCTGTTGTATCTTAGAATTCAAGCCTCTTTGTTCCTCCTTCCCATCAGTGATTAGTGATTTAAGAAGGAAAACGTGGCAGCAGCAGGAGTCAGGCTTAGTACCAGCTCTTCCATTAGCTGGCCCTGAGTCTTGGACAGGTCCTGTGAGCCTTCGGAGCCACATAGTTGCCATCGGAGTTCAGGTGCCTCCCCTCACAGTAGTTGTGAGGTTTAGATGAAATACAGTAACAGCTCAGGGAACCTCATGGCACACAAGGCCCTCCATGGCCAGTTAGCTGCCTCCTGCTTCTCCCTAGGGGAGATGCATTTATAAAGGGACTTGGGCATATTTATTTGCCAAAGGCTTTGCCCCTCCTTCTCCAAAGTTGTTGCTGTGAGTTCTTTGCTGAGTACACTAAAACTCTCTGATCTTATTACATTAGTAATTTCAAAACCCCTTTATGTAACAGATTTTCTATTATGCTGAGAATGGTAAACGTAACTTGGGGCTTAAAATGTAAAAATACTTAACACTTAAAGGGTTCATGCTTTAAAAAGTTGCAGCATAGTTACCACTACACAGTCACATCGTACAGCCCACAGAAAAGGAATGAAGGAATAGAAAAAGGAGAAATGATGAGAGAATGACAGGACTCAAAGAGATACTGGGACTCATAACGCTCTCTGCAGAGGGACAGGGTAGAGAAGACAGAGTGCTTAGGGAAGCAATTGACACCTGTCAGCTCAGGACCCTCCGATACCTGGAACTTGTTTCACCTTCTGTGGTCACAGTTGTCTTCCTGAATCCTTTAAAAGTGAAAACTAAAAGACTCTGTCCAATAACAGTATTATTATCATTAACTTTTTGGAGAGAGAGATTTTTGCTACAGGGTGTAGCACTTGCCATATGGGAGTCCGGAGCCTTAACCACTATGCCACCTGCTGGCCCCAACAGTATTATGTTTTAAATATTCATCACAGTTTAGGAAAAAGAAATGAAGTATACTCCAATGGCAGGTGTATTTTAATGGAATCTAAACTCTACTGGAGCTCTGCTCGGTGGCCATAATATGGAATGAAATGTGTTCCAGGAACTTGAACTTAAAGCCTAGGTTTGATGACTGATTTGGGTGCATCGCTTCAAGGTCTATGGCAGCAAAGAATGTTAGAGCTGAAGGAAGCTTAGAAGTCACCTAACCTAGGCCTTAGGAAGGTTGACTCAGGAAGTAAGCAGCAACTCGGCCTTCTTTTTTTGTTTTGTTTTGCTTTAGAGAGATTTTTGCTTTATGGCTTGTGCTCACTGGAGAGACAGAGAGACAGAAAGTGAGAAATCACCTTCCAGAGGGGATGGCCGTGCTGTAATCCCTTCTCCTCCATTCTCCTCTTGGGATTTTGGGGATGCATGCACATGTGCCCAGCATGAATTTTAAGTTGCTGGGTCCAGGACTTGAACTGTGGTTGACTACATGGGAGTTCAGTGACATGAATATTATGCCATCTGCTGGTCCCTTAGGTTCCTTTTTAAGGCTCAGTGCTACCTTTCACCTCTCCTTCATATTTTATTCAAATTTTAACCCTGATATCTAGTATAGGAAGGAAATAATTAGCCCAGGTTTGTACTCTAAAATATGTCAACATTATATCCCATAGAATTTGACTCTGAATTTTTCTGGAAGTGTGAATTCCCTCCCTCCAGTTAAAATGGCAGGTCCAAAATTATACAATTACAACTGACCCTTGCACAATGCAGGGGTTAGGGTCACCAGCACTCCACACAGTTGAAAATCAACATACAATTTTGAATGCTCAGAAACTTAACTACTATTAACCTATTGTTGACTGGAAAACTTATGAATAACATGCACTGTTGATTAATTCTTATATTATATACATTATATATATTATATATATTATACATTATGTATATACATTATATGTATTATACATTATGTGTATTACATACTATATTCTTACATTAAAGTAAGTTACAGAAAGAAAATGGTATTAAGAAAATCACGAGAATATCCCCCACTCAGTTTGTTCCGAGTGCTACAGCAGAGGTTGGGAGACGTGAAGATGTGATGGTGGGGGAACAAAAGTGATGGCAGAGAGGATGGGGGGATAAATGCTAGCGGCTGTAAGGGGGGAGTAGATGGTGGAGAGGGGGTGGTGAAGGGTGGGTGTGAGGTGCAAGGGGAGGAAACAGTTGACAGATGGAAAAATGTAAAAAAGAAAGATAAAACATATTCATTATGAAATTAACTAAATCCTGTTGTGTAGCAGTTTATTTCACAAAGTGGTTTAATTATTAGGTTATGAAAGTTATATATTTTTCTGTGCAAAAGTGCATCATGGATTTCCTGACGACCCTATATATATGTTTATTAGGATTAAAATATATAAAAAAAGAAAATCATAAGAGAAAATTCTTTTACAATATTTATTAAAAAGAAAATTGCATGGGACCAGCAGATGGCATAATGATTATATCACTGGACTCCCACGTGGTCAACCGTGCTTCAACTCCTGGACCTGTCAACTTAAAATTCACACCAGGTGCATCCATGTGCATGCCCAAAGCCCAAGAGGAGAATGAAGAAGAGACTGCAGTGTGGCCATCCCCTCCCTCTGGGGGTGGAGGGCTGATTTCTCGCCTTTTGTCTTTCTGTCTTTGTCTCCAGCAAGTGCATGTGCCCTATCGCAAAAATCTCTCTTAAAAAAAAAAAAAAAAAAAGAAAAAAGAAAAGAAAAGAAAATTGCAAATAAGTGGACAACACAATTTAAACCCCTGTTGCCCAAGGGCCAGCTCTACTTAGTGATGCCCCTGATAGCAGAGTGTCCTTTTATGGAGACAGTACTGTATCAAGGGAAGGACACTGAACTCTGCTTTGCAGTTCTCTTATTAGCTGTGTGCCCTTGAGTAAGTTGCAAAACCTCTTGAAGCCTTAGCTAGAACTAGCTCAAGTGCTGAGCACAGTGCTTGGCACACACCAGGCCTCACCTGGGGTCAGATACTATGATGTACAATAAGTTTGGTGCTCTGGGCTTCCACATGACTGACCACAGTTCAAGTCCTGGGCCTGACAGCCTGCTTTCTCACTTTCTCTCTCTCTCTCTCTCTCTCTCTCTCTCTCTCTTTCTGGTGAGTGCATATGCCCTAGAGCAAATTTTACAAATGATAAGAATAATGAATAAATTTAAACAAATAATTCTTTTTAAAAATAAAGAATATAGTGAACAAATAAGGAAGATTTACTGCTGAGCAAAGCAAGCCAGACTATGGAAGAGAGACATTGTATGTTCCCACTTAATATATACCAAATGTCTCCACACTATGGCAGGAACTGAAAGATTGGAAGATATAAAAGAATGGGAACAATCGCAGATCCTAGAGATAGTATGGGAGGACCGTGGGAAATGGGGGAGGGCGAGAGGAAGGGAATCAAGGGGGAAATAAAAGAAGCAAAACATTAAAGGACATAAAAATGGAAAATTATATGTTGATGATAACGTGTATGATTTTATACAGTATATTCATGCTGGGAAAATTCATTGTATAAGCTATAATGATATATAATGATTGAATGTATTAAAAAATTTAAAAATTCCTCCCAAGAATGTAAAAAAAAAAAAAAAAAAAAAGAAGGAAGGAAAGAATAAAACTCCTATCTCTTTAGCTACTGCTGTTCCTCGCCAGAATGTCAGTCTACCAGTGTTCCGATCTTACAAAAATGGGTTCCTTTCTCAGCTCCACTACCAGTGTGCAGGGGGAGGGCGGGCAAGGACTAAATCTCTGACTGGCTTGCTCTTTTCTCCCCACAGAGGTTTGAGAATTAGTAATTAACCATGAGGGGAGTGCTCTGAGGCCTTCGAGGCAGTGGCTATGTGTATAGCTGAGCAGTAGGTACATGCCCACTGCCCCTTGCCCATACCCGTTCCTACCCTGGCACTTAGATCGATCTCCCAACCTCCCAGCTGTACTAGACAAATTGGAGTGTCTTCCTAGCCACCTTTATGCCCGTCTCTTCTGTACTACTTCATCAGTTATGAAATCTAAAGTGCCTCTCCTACTCACTGAGAGGATTTGAGAGGGAAAAAAATAAATTCTGAAGTTTAACCTCAGGTTAAGGTTTTGAAGTATTTTCATCAAACACTAAAAAGATGGAAAGACAGGCAGCGGTATCTGATTGGCTGCTTAAATATGGGCTGCAGAACTCACGGCTTCAGTGACTAACGGTATTTCTTTCCTAGGTTGGTGCAGCATGATTGAGCTCAATTTCAAGGATGCATTTGATTCCTTTGAGAGGCTGAAAAATGAGTCCAGGTGGTCCCAGTGCTACTACGCCTACCTGACGGCAGGTGAGTAGACCATGGTCCCCACAACGCCTCACTGGCGAGTTGGCTCACGTGCTGTTGGCGGGTGGGAGGGTGACGGCAGGAGGAAGCAGAGCTGTGAACTTCCACAGTTTCCCCCCACGCGTTACTGTGTTGTTTGAGCAAGTGAACAGCAACAGAATACTGCCTTCACTGGCCCAGTTGAACACCCAGGAATTCAGTTCTGTCCCCTAAGGCTGCTTCACTCGTCCCACCCCAAGCCTGGTGTGGTCCTGTGCTCTGTCTTGGAAATGTTTTTGGCGAGGTTCTCCCAGTTTTTGTACCTTTTGGCTTAAACAGTCTCTTCATTTATTTGCTAATAGTTTTGTGTTTATGAAGAATCTAAAGAGGGGACTAGCAGGTGTCATGGTTAAAGTGCTGGACACTCCCACACGGCTGACCACAGTTTGAGGTTTGAGTCCTAGACCTGGTGGCATGCTTTCTTCCTTCCCTTCTTTCTCTCTCTCGCTCGCTCTCTCTCACTCTCGCTCTTGCTCTCTGGGTCTTTCTCTGGTCAAATTATAATAAATGAATGAATAAATAAAATTAAATAAATAATTCTGAAAAAAATCCAAGGAACTTTTAAGAATTTAACATGTCTTTTTCATTGTGTCAGTATTTTTGTTTGGCTGGTGCCCTGGTTGCATAGTTGCAAAGTTGCACAGCAGTAAATACTAAGCTCTGTAAGGCAGACCCGCCTGGGGAGGTCACTGGTCCTCATCTAGGACCTCTCAAACTGCACTGGGCGCACGTGTGCCTACAGTCCTGATCATGGCATCAGGAGCCTGTTAGGGATGTCGTGTCTCTGTCTCTGTCTCTCTCTACCTCTCTGCCTCATGGAATGCCTGAATGAATTTTTTAAAGAATTGTTTATTTAATTCTTTGTATCATTATTATTATTATTAATTTGCTATAAGGCACATTTGCTCACCAGAGAGAGAGAGAGTGAGAAAGCAAGCTGCCAGGTACTGGATTTGAACTGTAGTTGGTCATGTGGGAGTCCAGCCCCTAACCACCACGCCACCTGCTTGCTCCCTGAATTAATTTTTTTAAATACATTTTTTTAAAGTTACATTGGTTTTGAATCATCTGCTCCAACTTTGTTTTACTTATTCACCCTGTTAATAGTTACAGTGCGATGTTGCGGAACATGAGGTATTTCAACACTGTATGTCATTATAGCAAAAACACCCCAATTTCTGTTTCCAACGTTGGTTTTTTTCCCCAAGAGATAATTAGAGAAGTGCTGCCACCTAGTGGACAAAATATTCTGTGTCCTTGTAACTAAGAATTTTCTCAATGATCTGAGGAAGACCTCCAGCTAGGGGTAGCAGAAATTATTATTTTTCATTGGTCTTTGTGTGACCTTAGGCAGTCCTCAACTTTCCTGGTCCTCTGCATCCTTTCGTCTATAAAATTATAGAGTTGGTAACTCAAGACATCACTGAGCATCCTTCTTGTTTTGAAATGTTATTGCTGCCATTGGTGAGGCCATCCATCCAGGGATGCTCCTGTAACCCAGAATGGAGTCATCTCTCCCTTTATTCAGCCACACCCCTTTACTCCCAGGAGGAAGCCTCTGTAGTTCCCATTGCCTTGGCAGCTACAGCTTTCTACAAGCCTCTCTGCTTCTGCTTTGGTCCTGCTGATCGTCACCCATCCTCTGATGTCCTTGGCCCTGTGTGTCCACTTAGCCATGCTCACAAATGCAGGTACAGGACTACATAGTCTTAAGGATGCTCCAGTAAAGGAGGAGAAACTAACAAATTAGCATCGGTACCCTCCAGCTGGGGAGTGAAACACACGTGGCTAAGACAGTGTCTGACAAAAAAATGAGTAGAAACGGACTCAGTGCCATAGAAGCTGAGGGGAGGATGACGAGGAATGGTCAAGTTTCCTTAAGAAGGTGGAGCTGGAACTCGAGGGTGACATCTGCAGCAGAGAGAGGGATGAAGTAAAAGTAGGACCAAGTCTCTGGGGTAATTGGTAGGAAGAGGAGTAAGACTATCCAGATCTTACCCATCCTTCAAAGCTCAGCTTGACTTTTGCTAGTTCTTCAAAGTTTCTGATTTCTCTGAAGAGAAATGACCTCTTTCTGAGCTTTACTAAAAGTTCGGTTCTTCTCCTTAACCCTCCTATGACTGTACACTCTGTAGCTGTGGGATTGTGTGTGTTAGGGAGTGTGTGTGATCACTCCAGTGAAATGCACATTTCTTCTGGGTGCAAATAAGTATATTTCTTTTTTTTTTTTTTTTTTTTGCTTTAGGGCGCGTGCCCTCATGAGAAAGACAGA